ATCAAAAACTTTAAAATCACTTAAGAATTAAATAGCACCCTCCTGAACATCCTCCTAACCTGTTGGTGAATAGGTCACAGATAAAATGAAAGACAAATTGAGACAGTTGCTACAAAATAGTAATGCCAATACAACATACCAGAAATTATGTCACCCAATGAAAACAGTGATACAGGGAAATATATAGCAGTAAATTTCCACATATGAAAAAGAGAATGAGCAGAAATAAATAACCTAATGTTGAAATGTAAGCACAAAATTTGTACAAAGGAGAAAATGGAAATGTTACAGCAAAAACTAATACCATTGAAACTAAGAAAACAATATTAAAATCAGTTCTTTGAAAAATTAAATAAATTCGTCAACTTTATCAAAGAAAAAGGAAAGAAAAGACTAAAATTTACACAATTACGAATGAAAAGGGTGAAATCACAAAGGATCCTGCAGAAATCCAGAAGATCATTAAAACCTACTTCAAAAATCTTCATTCTACTAAAATGGAGAATGCTGCATCCCATGCAGCACTCACTGTCCCTGGGTTAATATGACAAGGGGACTTAGAAAATAAACATAAGAGATGATAGCTGGGAGAAGAGGAACTAAGCAAAAACAGTAGGGGTGTTTACTTATACTTTTGAAAAAGTTAGTATCATACAAACAGGGTTGCCTAGTGACTAATGACTGCAATTGTCTCAGGCAAGATGTTTTTCTCAGGACTGAGGTAATTTGAATGTTTTAGAGCTTTTTGCCTTGTCTTGCCCCCACACAGGACCAATTTGCAGCTTCAGCCACTCCATACAAGAAAACACAGAAGAAATGGAGAGATTCCTAGATGCATATGAAATTCCATTGCTGAATCAAAAAGATATGAAGATTCTATGTAACCCAATATCAATCAATCAAATTGAAGATGCAACTTAAAAATTATCAACAAAAGAAAACCAGGTCATGATGGATGTTCTGATGAATTCTACAAGAAATTTAGAGGAGATCAAAGCCACCGCTCCTCAAAATCATTAATGAAATTAGAAGGAGGCAATATCTCAAAGTCTTTTGTAGAAGCAAGAATTACCCTGATGTAAAAACCAGAGATAGATCCTACTAAAAAAGAAAACTACAAGCTAATCTCTCTAATTAACATAGACCCCAAATTTCACAATAAATTACTGGCAAACAATGCAACACATCATTAAGAAGATTATACACCATGACCAAGAAGGTTTCATCCCAGAGATGTAGGGATGGACATAATATGCAAATATGCACATCAATATGTGTAATACACCATATTAACATAGGCAAATACAAAAACTCCACGATAATTTCAACAGATAATGAAAAAGCTTTTGACAAGTTTTAAACCCACTCATGCAAAAAGGCCTACAACAACTTGTAATAGATGGCCTTTATGTTAATATGATGAAATCTATTTATGACAGAACAACAGCCAATGTTATCCTACCAACACCACTGCCAAGTGGCTCTGAGCAGGATTTAATATGAAACAATTGGTTTTCCGTGCTTACTTGTGAGTTGTCTGAAGCTTAGGCACCTTGTCTGAAGGTGTACAATGGACTTATAATAAGTAAACCTCTGTGAGTCACTGGTCATCCTTGAGACCTGTGCTGGCCTGCGAAGTTGTGACACCTCAAAGAACAAGACAAGGCCTCAGCTGAGGATATCTGGCTCCAACCCCAATTAACTTGAAGGAGACTGTAGCTGCAGGTATCTCACTGTTGCTGTGAAGACCTTCATGGAGATAACATACTTCTCCAAAATTAACATAATGTATTACTTGGAAAAGTCCTGCCCAGACTCCCTCCTTTTCTTGAGTATCCCCCTCTTTTGTTTGTAAACCACATAAATACTGGATTCTCAGAGAAGTCTTGGTCTAAACTCAGAGAATATAACAACTGTAAGAAAGTTAGTCCCTCCTGGAGCCTTGAAATCATTTCAATTGTCTCATTTATTTAAGCCTTCACCACCCAATCGTTTGGGAGATTGTGGGCCTTCTCAGCCTGCAATAACTAAGGGTCATTTAACCTGATAAGCCAAAATCACATTAATGGTAAAAACTGAAAACTTTCATTGGAAAGGTGATTTCCACTATCACCACTGTTTTTTGTGCAGCTTTGTTTTCAGGCAAGAGCCCATTAGGTAGTACAAACTGGCCATGAACTTGCTTATGTCACCTGGGTGGTCTCAAACTCATGAGATCCTTCTGCCTCATGCTTCCAAATGCTGGGATTACAGGTGTGTGCTACCACATCTGGGCAATGATCACAATTCTTATTCAATGTATTTCTCAAAGTACTAGCCAGAGCAATTGGATAAGGAAAGAAATTAAGATAGGAAAAGAAGAATTTAAACTACTATTATTGGAAGATGATATGATACTCTACACAGAAGACCCCAAATACTCCACCAAAGACTGGTAGATTTAAAAACCAAATTCAGTAGCATAGCTGGTTATAAAGTCTATATTAAAAATTCCTGTACACAAACAGCAAACTCACTGAAGGGAGTTCTAGGAAAAATTAGGGAAAACACAACATTCAAATAATATTGAAAAAATGAAATCAATACGCAACAATCTAGTGAAAGAAGTACAACTTTACATTCAAAAATTATAGTACTCTGGAAAAAGTGATCAAAGAAGATGTGAGAAAATGGAAAGATCTCCCTTGCTCTTGGGTTGAAAGAACCAACATAGTGAAAATGGCCATACTCCCAAAAGTGTTAGACAAATTTAATGCAATCTCAATCAAACTACCAATAGCATATCTCCCAGAATTAGAGAAAATATTCCTAAATTTCATTTGGAACCAGAAGACACCTAAAATAGCAAAAACAATTCTGGACAATAAAGGCAAAGCAGGAGCATCACAATCCCTGAATTGAAATTATACTACAACTCTACACTGATAAAGACAACATGATACTGGCAAAAAACAGGCCCAAGGATTAATGGAACGGACTAGAAGATGCAGAAACAACTGCAAAAATACTTGGCCAACTTACCTTTGATAAAGGGGCCAAACACTTTCTCTGGAAGAAAGATAGCCTCTTAAGAAATGGTGATGGAAAATCTGGCTTTTCACATGCCAAAGAATAAATCAGACCCATATTTTTTCCCAGGCACTAAACTAAAATGAAATGGATCAAATATTTCAATATTGAAAGAGAAGTTTTTGCATATCAAAAGAAAGCACCAACAGGGTAAAAAAAAGCATACTACTTGGGAAAAATTTTAGCCAACTGCCCATCGGACAAAGGACTTTATTCTAGAAGATATTAAGAATTGTAAAAAATCAAGACCCCAAAAGTAAAAGACCCAATGCAAAAATGGACATATGAGATGAATACACTTCTGAGATGAAGAAAGAGAAATCAAAATAAATATATGGAAAAAATGTCCGACACCATTTGTCATTGAAGAGTTGCAAATTAAAACAATGCTGAGATTCCATCTCACTACAGAAAAAAATTATTATTATCCAGAAATCAGCCAATAACAAATGCTGGTGGGATTTTATGGGGAAAGAAACTTTCTCCACTGTTGGTGGAAGGGTGAATTAAGGCAACTACTGTGAAAATCACTAGGAAAATCCCTCAGAAATCTAGGACTAGAGGTCCTGTTTGACTCAGCTATTCCCCTTCTTGGTATCTTCACCAAAGAGTTAAGAAGAGTTATTCCCACAGGTATATATGCACACTCATGCTACAGCAGTGCAATTTGTGATAGCTAAATCTTGGAAAGACCACAAATGCTCATCAACTGTTGAATAGATAAAGAAGATGTGAGTTCTTTCTTTTACACAAGGAAGTATTGCTCAGCCATAAAGGAGAACAAACATGAGACATTTCTAAGTAAATGTGTGCACCGTGGGATCATACTCATAAGTGAATTAAATCAGACACACATGTTCCATTATCATATGATTTCTCTGGTGTGAGGAACCAATAGTAAAAACAGGACAAATATTTATAGCAGATGTTGTGAATGAAGAAAATGTTATAATGGGAAGGGATACTAAGTAGGGAGTAGGGCAAAAGAAGGGAAAAGGAAAAACAGAATACGTGGAGAAACTGGAAACAAAACTTTCTCAATAAGGAGTGCAAAAGGAACTGAAGGAGCAGAGGAAAATGATGGGGAGAAGGATGAAGGTATATCACATACAGGTACAAATCCATATAATGAATCTTATCATTATCTATGCATCCTTTGTTTTTAAAAATTAATCAAATTTGTCCTTAAAATTATATATGTATATTTTCATAGCAATTCTTCATGTATTAATCTCATATTTGCACACCTTCTTCCATTTAACTTAGCCCTGAAGTTCACATTAAATTTCCACACTCTTTTTAAATGTAAAATAGAAAGATTTATCTTCTGTACATTTTTTTCTGAAGGTCTCAGCAGAGAAATGTAATGTACGTTATGAGTCTAAAACAAAGAATAGAGCATAAACTGAATTTGCTGAGAGCGATCAGGGCACTTTGCTCACGTCCACATAGAAATAAGGATCACATAGCTAGAAGATAACTTCAAGATTCATTTTTCTCCATGCTATCTTAGAATATGTGACACAAAACAAAAGGAAAGAAAACCAGTCGAGGATAGTTCATTGTTTCAAATAGTATTTGCTCAAGAAGGAATCCCATTGTAATGTTAAAATCTGAAAACAGTAAGAAAATGCATATCTCTAAGATTTCAGCACATTGGTCATTAAGTATTCAATCAATTGCAACAATGTGCAATTGAACTTTACATTTGAAAGTTTATTAAAAACTGAAAATTTATTAAAAACTAATAATTTCTGTGCTACCATATGATGTTATTAACATTTATCATTTATATAAATTATCTGCACTGGTCCCAGTTCTCTCATAGGTGGCATACTGCTTTCACTGTTCACTCCTCTTGCATGCTATTGGCTACTGAGTACTTATATGGGTGGAACTATGACTTTTTGCCTGGTTAGTGCCCTCTTGAAGTCAAAGAAAACACAGAATCTGCTCAGTGAGAGGTGCGGCCACAATGATTTCCAAACAGCAGTGTGTGAAACTGAATGACGGTCACTTCATTCCTGTACTGGGATTTGGCACCTACGCTCCCGATGAGGTAACAAAGTGGGGCTGGCATTGGGGACTTAAGGAAAGTACACACAGGATGAGTGGGAGCTGACCTGAGTGCTCAGTACCCCATTCCTACATGATTAGGGGGCTCAGATTATTCTCAGGTAGCACAGGCTGGAGCTTTTCCTAAACAGAATGGAAATTTGGCTAGAGGATGCTTTACATCAAGGTGTGCTTGTGCTGTTATCTACCAATTTCACCAGCCTGGTTGCTTAATGGATAGGACATTGGTCTCCCAATTACACTGGCCAATGGATTTTCTTTGTAGAACAATTAATTTTTTCAGCTAAGTAGCAAACAAAACTTGCCATTCATGATAACTTCTTGATCGCTAATGATTTTGAGCACTTTCTCTTATATTACTTGGCCATGGTACAAGTTTGAGAGCTCTTATGCATAAGAAAATGTGGTGAAAGAGGGTGTCAAAAGAGGGCCAGAATATCCAATTATTTATTTTAATTTCATAAGGAAAAAGAATTTCCTCTAAATCATTATCCTAATTTGTAACACTTGTGGAAGAGGTGTCCTAATTTGATCACTGGCATAAGAAGTCTCCAGAAACATGTTAGAAAAGTCCGTGATTTTAAATTTTCCTCTATATGTCTCCCTGAAACAATTACATTAGCTTTAAGGGTTGACCCTTACATGACTCAATGCAGTGCATAATGTAGGTAGTTCCTTGTGTATGAATCTATGGCTTTTGAGGACAGCATTCTTCATTGCTAGTATTTACTTATGGTATGCATATGTAATGGTTATTTGCAAAATTTAAAATAGCACTCTGCTATGCATTGAAGTGTTCACTTTCAAACTGGCCCCTCAGTGACCTCTGGGAATTTTGATATCTCACTCTTCTAGCAGTTAAGGACAATGTCCATCTTTGAACCTTTTGTACAAACAGTAGCATATGTTTATTCCTGCTATCAATTTTGAGACAACAATATCAGAATGTTCTAGAAGAGGAGTCTCTGTAACCAACATGTCAGAGAATGCATTAGAAAATATGTTTCCAAAGAGCTTTTCTTATAATCAAAATTCTTATATGTCTTCTATACTCAGTGTTGGAGGATATAGTGTGATTTTTCAATTTACTGGGGGAAAATATTGTTCCTATACTTTAGCTCATGCTCCTTTTCTGATATTAATTTTATTACCTCACTGAATGCATATTAACCATTGCTATAAATATATGCTCAGTCCCATGCGTCCTTCCAAAAACACTCAATGTGAGTATATTTCTGAAGATCTCCTATAAATGACCAAGCAGTAATTTTCAGGGACCAAACAGGTCATTGCAATACCCTATACTTCTTATGGACAAGGCAAGACCTAGGCAACTTAAAATGTGTTCATCAAAAATGCACACGTAATTCCAAACATGGGGAAAAGGTTCTTTTGTGAAGTCTCTGCTTATCCTAGAGTGCTACATCATATGGATCTGTAAACCCTATGTTTGAATACCTCTCTAGGTGCCCAAGAACATGGCTACAGAGGTCACTAAATTAGCTATAGATGCTGGGTTCCGCCATATTGATTCTGCTTATTTCTACCAAAATGAAGAGGAGGTGGGACTTGCTATTCGCAGCAAGATTGCAGATGGCACAGTAAAGAGAGAAGACATATTTTATACTTCAAAGGTAACGTTTATATGGTCTGTGGGTGTGCAAATTAAGGAATGTGACACATTGAAGTAATATTTGCATGATTTAATCAGTAATGGTTGATGAACAATATGTATTGGTCCATCTTTTACTCATGTATCTTTATGTATAACATCCAGCACTGAAAACAGAGAAAGATGATGGCTTTCTTCTTGTGGTTTCACATTACTAACTCTAATGTAAAGGATTTTTTGTTTCTGAGCTTCAATTCAAAGCAGTGTGATTTAGCATTGGCAGTGTTTTCAGAGAGACTTTGAACAGACTACAGCTTCTTTCATCAGATTGGGGAAGTCTTACATTTGGTTAATAGACTGAATATCAACTGTAACCTTTATCATTTCTTAATGGTGAGCATCCTTAGGAAACAGTATCAGTTTCCTGCTTTTGTGTTAAGGATTACTAAATTGCCTTCTATAGATGTGTTGCACATTAATAGTTCAAAATGTTTTTTTACTAATTCTTTCCAATTTATTTCAATAGATGGGGGAATTAGACTATTGAAGTATTTTGCATTTCCTGGGGAACACAAACTGAGACAATGATTACTATTATAACTTGATAAAATTTTTATCTTGGAAGTGATTTTCTTCCATTATTTGTTATGTTTGCTAGTGCCAACTGAACATCTCACGGAGTCTACATGAACAGATGAGATGTAGAGGAATTGAGGATACAAGTTAATGTTTTCCTTCTATGGTCATCAGTTTCTAGCCAGTAGAAAACTGTTTCAATTATTGGGAAATGAAAGGAATAACTTGAGTTAATGCATTTGTGTATAAACATTTTTGTTGTTTAATCTTTCTAGCTTTGGTGCACCTTCCATCAACCAGAGCTGGTCCAACGGAGCTTGAAAAGTTCACTAAAAAAACTTCAGTTGGACTATGTGGACCTCTATCTCATTCATTTTCCAGTGTCCATGAAGGTAGGCAATGTGCATCATCAGTTATACTTAACTTTTTTCATCATCAGTTGTACTTAGCATCTGCATGATTGTCAATTTCATGGAAGGTTGAATTAGGTTTTTATAAATTTATACAAACTTTATGTGTTATGTAAACTTTTAAAGTCAATTCATACAAAAGAATTTATTGAGTTATATGAATGGGGAGCCCAAGCCATAGTTATGTTGATGGATGTGAAATAATCTTGAGAAATGTGTCTTTTCATGAACTCCATGCATGTATTCACAGAGGATTTCTTGGGTTTTGTCAAGTCCCTTCTGCACTAGAGGCAAATAGGACCTTTGCTATAAGACGCTCATGAACTTTAATACTTGAGAACCACTCAGTATCTTTCAGTATAAAAATTAATCTACGAAAGAGCCTGAATAGATCTTTGTGCTCAATTTGACTTGTGGACTCTGTCTATTTTATGATTGTTTCTCTTCTAATCACTGGACAAACCACAGACAGGTACAGTGCACAGAGCTATGACTCAGAAAGTGAGGAGTAGCATAGCAGCTAAGAGTGCTACACTAGCAGGCCACACTGAGTGGCTTTAAACTCTATTAGTTGGTTGTTGGCTATGTTTTATGGTGTAGGTTTCTTAAATTGTGTGATTTCACTTTTTATCAGTAAGAAAATAATCTTATCACCTAGATTACATAGTAGAAAAGAGATTAAATGAATTAATATATATCAAGAACTCATCCTGGTACTCAGAAAATTGTGCTTGGTAAATCTATGGATTTTAATATTTTTAAAACAATAATAAATGTGAAATCCTATTTTGTAATGATCAACAGCAGCAACTGTATCAGTCTCACTGTATTTGTATGACAGAGTAAGTGAAGATTATTAAACTTATCTCCTATGTTTAACTGTGCATGTCCATTGCCAGTCTGGCTAGGCTATTATAAAAACACAGAGAAGCACAGGACACAAGAACTTTAAGAAAGTGTTTAATCTGAAGTAGTACTTGTAGGTAGAACCAGATATTCTCCTCAAAATACTTAATTCTATGCCTCAGTGAAAAATATTCCACAGTACACTGCTGGAAAGAGACCACAAACAACATCCTTAAAAACATTAATGGGTCATTCTTCCTGGTTGGGTTTCTGGGATTTTTGCTGAATTCAACTTCCTTTTCTCAAAGCGACTCAAGCAGATTCCCCTAACCCTGAGACATTCTGTGCAATTCCTGGCAGTGGCTGGTTTTAATTTTGTTTTTGTTTCTTTATTTTCTGGCAGAATTACTTTTTGTCTTTGGAAAATTCATTTTTTGTATTTTACATCAGGTACACATGTGTAGTATTCAATGATTATACTCATCATGAGTAGTTGGTACACTGACATGACCTTTCTTAATTTGTTTTTGAACTCCTCTCCCTCCTTCTCCATCCCATCCCCAAATCTATTGGACCTCATCGTACATATATATTTTCATACATGTTAGTAAATGATGATCACATTCTTGATATGGATTCAGTGTATGTACAGAACACTTCGCAATCCCCACCCCTTTTGAAATCCCATTTTCCTCAATTCCTTCCTTTCTTCTCTTGGTTCCCTTCCTATGTGCTAAAGATTCATCTCATTATTCCTTACTGTTGTATATTTTGCACTTTATTTATATTTTGGGTCTCATGTAAGAGATACCATGTGGTATTTGAGCTCTTGTGTCTGATTTACTTCACTTAGTATTATGGTCTCAAGGGCAATCCATTTTCCTAGCAATGGCTGAAGTTTACTTTGAGGAGTCATTTACATTCCAGTATGCTATCTACTTTCCTATTTTCATGTGTTCTGTCATGCTAGCTCATACCTCTCCTATACCTGAAATAAAAATGCTAAAGTAAAGAAAGAAAATGAGAGAAGAAAAGAAAAAAGACCATGATGGATCTTCTTTGATTCACATGCCTGGCTTTTGACCATTCACATACTCACAGATGGAGATAACAGTGATTCATTAGCCTGAGTTTGGACTTTCCCACCTGAAAAGAATTACTTTTGCAGTGATAAGTACAGGGATATGAAAAGCAATGACAAGTCAATGAGGATATCACATAAGGACCTAAGAAGGTATTATGAATTAACAGAATTAAAAGGCATAAGAGAAAAGATGAAATCTTTGATCCAAAACATCCCTAAAAAGACCACAACCAAAGTATTTCAGAAATATAAGTCTGGGCGCATGCCCTGCACTGAGTGTGCAAGTGCCTTGGGAGCTGCTGGTCCCACGGTTTGTGCCTGTGCTTTACTTCCACTGCTGTGATTCCCAGCTGAAACTCATGGAGAGAGCCAGGTATTTCCCATCTACTTCCTGAGGTCAGAGCATAGGACCCAGGATCCTGCTGCCATTACAGACTGAGTCTTTGCCCTCTGGGCACCCGTGGCAGACAGGAGGTCCTCACTCAGAAGTCCCAGGGATTTCTCTGGCTGGGGAGGGGTGAATGTCACTCCATCCTGTGTACAACCTGTGCCAAGTGTGCGAATGCTCTGGGAGATGCTGGTCTCGCAGTTGGAGTCTATGCTTTACTTTTGCCCAGACCCCCTAGGGGGTCAAAGGCACAGGCAGTCTGTGATTGCTACCCGACCAACCTACATCTGGTTCCTGTATGTGTCCTGAACTGACTGCAGACACACACTCAGGTGATTCACAAACTGTCGACCCTGCAGTTTATGTCTGGGTTTTACCTGTACTGTGAACTGCTTGGGGACATAGGTTGATGGGACCAGGATGGTCACTCTAGTGCAACCCGAGTCTGGGCTGTGCACATGTCCTCAAATGAAAGGGGATGCTGGAGCACATTGTAGGCTGACACCAATGTCCGCGTCTGAGACCGAGGATGACTAGATACAAACCAACAACTGCCAGAAAACCCGAGATTAAGTAGCACTTCTCAGAGGTCACTCAGGGGCAATCCTGACCAACAGGAAAACTAGGGACACTAGTGGCCTTTGCTGCACAGATACTGAAGAGGGAAACTGAGCTTTCTGCATCTGGCAGTAAACATGACAAAACAAAGGACTAAAGCACAATCCCAGAACTTCCCCCCTCTCAGAACAAGTCCAGGACACATCGACATAGGAGAACTTGATAAACACATGCCTGAAATAGCTGAAATGATTGCAATGGAAGTAAAGAAACAACTCCATAAGGCCACAGAAGAGATGAGATCAGAAATAATCTCTCAGTCCAAAAATGAAATGACAATAATAATGAAGGAACTGCTCAAAAAGTCTGAAGAAGAAACATATAAGAAAATAGAAGAACAAAAGCAAGGGACAGAAGCATTCAATGAAAAATATAGAAAGGACATAGAATGCATGAACCAGGTTCAAATTGACTTCCATGAAAACAAAGCTGCCATTGAAAGCTACCACAACCGCTTGAATGAAGCTGAAGATAGATTCTCAGACTTTGAAGACAACATGGCAGCTAGCGACTGTGAAAGAACAGACCTCGTAAAAACAGCAAGGATCCAGGAAAAGTCAATTCAACAGCTGCAAGATGAGGCAAAGAGGAATAGTGTACGACTTCCAGGAGTCAATGAAACAGCAGGAAGCAACACGACTGACATTAAAAGATTATTTGCAGAAATAATAGCAGAAAATTTCCCAAGCATGGAAGCAGAACCTAATACACAGAATATGAGGCATATAGAACTCCAAACAACCACAACCAAAATAAAACTACACCCAGACATAATATAGTCAAGTTTCCAGATCTCCAGCAGAAGAACAGAATATTCAAAGCTGCTAGAGAAAAGAAACAGATTACCTATGAAGGAAAGCCCATCACAATCATGGCAGACTTCTCAGCACAAACCATCCAATCAAGAAGAGCTTGGAGCAAAGTATTACAGGTCCTAAGACAGAAGAGCTTCCAACCAAGACTGATGTACCCTGACAAACTATCCCTGAAATTCAATGGAGAAATAAAATATTTTCATGACAAAGAACAATTAAAGAACTTTATGAGTGACAAGCCAGCATTACAAAGAGTACTAAAAGATATTCTAGACACAGAAAATCTGACTGGAATTTCAAAAACAACAGTAGAAATGAAATGTCAAGAAGAGCAAGCAATTAAGCAAGTAGAAAAAGTAGGACATCAATGCAAATAAATAACATGACAATGATAAATCAATACATATTGGTTATAACTATAAATGTAAATGACCTCAATTCTCCAGTCAAAAGAAACAGACTGGCAGAGTGGATTAAAAAACAAAATCCAATGATATGTTGTATACAGGACATACATTTCACTGAAAAGGAAATCCATAGACTAAAAGTCAAAGGATGGAAAACAATCCTCCATGCTACAGGAACCCAGAAAAAAGCAGGTGTAGCTACTCTGTTTGCAGACACTGTAAACTTCAAACCAACAACAATCAAAAGAGATAAAGAAGGTCACTACATACTACTCAGGTGAAGACTGCAAGAGGATGAGACAACAACCATAAATATGTATGTACCAAATATTGGAGCTCCAAATTATATAAGACACATCTTAACAGACATGCAAACCCATATAACTAATAACACTATTGTAACAGGGAACCTCAACACCCCATTGACACAAAGAGATAGGTCAACTGGACAAGAAATCAGCAAGGAAATAACAGATCTGAACCAAAGCTGTGAACAAATGGACTTAGTAGATGTATACAGAGTGTTCTACCCCGCAACATCAGAATACACATTTTTCTCAGTAGCACATGGGTCCTTCTCTAAAATAGACCACATCGTAGCCCATAGAGCATACCTTCTGAAATGCAAAAGAACTGAAATTATCCTGTACATATTTTCTTGCCACAGTGCAATGAAATTGGAAATTAACAACAAAAGGAACTCCAACAACTCCATAAACACTTGGAATTTAAACAACAACCTCCTGAACAACCAACCAATGGGTCACAGAAGAAATTAAAGAGGAAATTAAAAAGTACTTACAAACAAATGAAAATGTAAATACAACTTACCGGAATCTATGGGATGCAATGGAAGCAGTCCTCAGAGGGAAATTTATAGTGGTGAATTCACAGATAAGGA